ACAGATGAATGTTTGTTGTTTTTATAACACTGGTATCAGCAGCTCAGAGTATGAGATGTTGAATGGTAGGATGGTTAGTGAATAGTTCCTGGAAAGGATGTGGAAAGGAATGGTCATGATCCAGTTTGTTTTACTTTTCTGGCATTTGCCTTGAGGGACTAGGGAAAGCTATGAACAACCTCCTAGTACTCAGTGTTCCAGCCAGATTTGAGCTCATCATCTCATGAGTAAAAGTCAGAAACTTCAAGCTCAAGCCAGGTTTCTGTGTAGAGCGCATACAAGTAAAAATAACAATATATCTTTGTTTCGAGTCCACATCTGTCAGATTACCCCTAGTCCAGAAGTAAGCCGAATACTTCAATACTCTTCCATCCATAATTTCTCTCCTTGCCACCAACTTCTATATGACATGCCGGTTTCAAAACTTTGCTCACTTCTACCCCAAAAATATAAGCAGAGTACTCCTCCAAAACGTTCATACCAGCCTACCAGACTGCAGAGGACCAGAGTATATATTGTGGTGTATAGACCTGTTACTAAGCAATGAATCTGTAAATGTCTGTCGCTGCTAGACAACACCCACAACACACATGTGATCAACAGCAGAGGAACAGTCTTTTCTAAGTCCTCAGATGGAGTGTAGCTGTGCAGCACATTTGTGTGATTTCACAGAACCATATATGACCATCACGTGACATGTTTCCTACATGTCCATTAGCTTGTGGATATGTGTGATGTCACACAGCAACAGTGAATAGGGGTCATGTGAAATGTGTTTACTCTTGGTCGACATTGGTCCATCGGCTATATAAGTGAGTGTTCAGTTGGTAGCAGTTACGAGAGGGAAACAGTAGCAGCAGAATCACGAGAAGAGATCGAGTTGGAACTAGAAGTGACAGTGAGTGTGTGTGACACAGTCCTGAGTTCTGAGTTGCAGTAGAGTTATGAGAGAGAAATAGTAGTGGCGGAAGCACGTGAACAAAGCAAATTGGAACCAGGATTACAGAAGAATACAGGAGGTCGACCTGCGAGGATTTAAAATGTGACTGGAAGATTTTATGTGTAATATTTGTAGTGATTTGAAGTGACAGTTTCTGTGTTGAGATCTGTTGCTAGGAGACGACTAGTGGAAGACAGAGAATCCTAGTTCATGTGCAACAGTGAACTAGAAAGGGTGTAACTCAGTGATAGTGCTGTATTGCCTCTATCTAAGTGTAATTAAGAGATAGTGTGTAACCAAGTGCTAATCACTCCAATCATCTGAACCTATCATTTTCGTCACATGTACTACCCTACGCCTGATAATATGTTGGTGAAAATGTTCTAAGGTCTATCAGTAGTGCTCATTCAGATGGTTTGGTAAATTGTGTCTCATCTCTATGATTAGGGCCAAAAGGAAGCATACATGAGGTGCTGTCATTTCAGGTAGTATATAAGGCCCTTCATTGTGGGTATCCAGATATTGGAGATGGTACCTAATTTTATCATCCACACAGTTGGAGCACTTTGTGAGAACTGCTGTGAAAACAACAAGAAAACGTTCAGTAGACTACAGTCCTTGTTGGCTTGAGATCTCAGGTCTGTCAGAAAAGAAGTGAATAGTTCTGATGCATATTTTTCTTGGCCATTTCTTCATTGTGTTTAAGTCATCTCACTAAAATACAGAAAATGATGAGCCCAGAAATCTTGGTTACTGGCCTACATTATGTAATGCAACAGCCATAATTCAAAAATGAGAGACTGAATATGTTCTAGGCATAAGAGAATTCATATTTTCATTTTTGTATTTTATAAATATAAACAGGGCTTGAGGTGGGACGGGATGCGGCAGGATGGCATCCCGGTTCTTTTCTAAATGGCTTAAAAGCATCCCATTACTTCTTTGGCAGTAAATGCAATGTACAATACTTTAAAAGGGGAGAAAACCATCCCGGTTCTATTTTCATTCCACCTCAAGCACTGATATAAATCATCTGAATATAGAGCAGTAGAATGTAAAGATTCCACGACCTTTTTACCCCTTGTTCATAAGCAATGAACTCAGAGGACAGTCCTTTGTGTCAGACTGCTTGCAGACACTTTGAAAAATGTTTATATTTTGAGAGCAGGAATGTGATGGTAGATGTGACCCATGAGCCGCCCATTAGCAGATCTGAAAGTTTTATGAGTCACAGACATATGCAAGGAGTAAAGTGACAGAATTGTTTTAATGTGCTGGTGTTCAGAACATACTTTTAGAGTGCTGCAGTGGGATACTTTGAGACCATATAGGTTAAATGGCATGCTGCATGGTGACAGCTATATTTAAATGACATAAAACCTAGGATGATTTAAATGAGATCCATGATTTGGTGTTATAAATAACTGTTTTTCCTTGCACTGTGCCAACAAGTCAGGTAGGATGTGTGCACATTGTGCATGTTCTGTAACTTTGGTTCAGTTATTGTGGATTTCGTTGGTTTAACATTAATTAATTTTTGCTGTGTCTGGTCATTTGCTGAAATTAATCTGATACTCTGACATTTTGGATTGTCTACTTATGGAGTAAATGAAACGAAATTGGTCACCATTATTGGCCTATGTTTGCAATGGAAACTCGTTGCTTTTGCTGAAGGTTAAAAATTTTTAACATATATGGAATTCTGACAAATTTGGAATGTGTTGCAGACCAAATCTGTTTTGTAACAGTATGAAAAAACCTCACCACAATGTAGAAGGTGGCTGGATAACTCACCGATTAAAGGGAATAAGTGGGCCAGCAGCTATATTTAATGACTGATGGTTCAGATTACTTAAAAAGACCAACAAGTTGCATTATTTTTGTAGCTGTACACACAGGTGAATTTTTATATAAGGCTAGAATGGGTTTTTAAAACAGGCTGTCAGTCTCAGTCCAACTTAAAACAATGTTCACAGATGTATTGTACCTCTTTTTAAGTGCATGAACTTCTTGGAAATATTATTTGCATGCCTGTCTTCAGGGAAGATATGACTATTGTAGAAAGGTTTCATAAGTGTAAGTTGATGAGCTTAGCATTAAATTTGATTCATTTAGACAAGTTATAATATTTCATGGGGAATTGTTATCTTTTAATTCGATTCTTAGTCCTATTGCAGGGTAATTTCTTTTTACTGACATATGATGTCATAATTTAACGTTAATTCTTTCTTTGAAAGAGCTGTCTAGACACAATTGTTTCCAGCATGTATATTTGTTATGCTGGATACTCAGAGTGACAACACTTTCACTTTCATGGTCAGAAATATCCTGCAAGATATGCAGAATGTCATACATTCATTGTCAGTTGAAGAAATTTTATAGCAAAAAATAAGAAATATATAAATTTATATCTTCAATAAAAAGTTTAATTGGTACAATTAACTGCTGTGAAATAGTATGGCACTTGTGAGTTATTTGTGTAGTGGGTTGAAGAGTGAGGAAGCCATTACATCTACATTTAATATTTTCTCATGAAAGAATAGCTGGGAGAGCGAAACACCAACACAACTCCTGTCCAGCTTCATTAATATGCATGCCCAGGCGCTATTCATTGTCCCATCAGACATGCATGGATGAAGTGTTACAGTACTCTACAACCTCTGACATTTTGCTAAATGTTGGTTAACAATGCAAATGACATATCTTTCTTTTCTAACATTGGTGAGAGGGTTATGGTATCTGGTGGTCATGTGCCAATCCGCATGGAAGTGACTAACAGAATCGTTTTAACTTTGGAGTTCTCTTGAGTTCTTACAGCACTATGTAACATTCAGCAGAATAATTTGACATGTTTGAGCCTCAGAGAAAGGAAATAAGAAGAGAAAGGAAAAAACTAGACAGTCAGGTGATTCATATTAATATGTACTCAAGAACAAATATTTTTAATTTCTCAAGCAAATGCATCACAGGTCATCTACTAAATTGTTCATGGATAAACTGTGCCCACAGTGCTGTGAGTTGCTCAAATCTTGCATCTCAGAAACAGCACTTTGAGAAGAAAGCCACCCTATTAAATCAGCAGCTACTAAGTTTAAGTCATGCTGGAAGGTTAAGAACATATAGCATGTGTGGAATGATATATATATAAGAACATTTGGTTTGAAATTGCAGTGGAAGGAACCACTTAGGAGACTTAGGCAAAAGGTAATGTTGGAATGGATTATGGGGAAATAGGCATGAACTAGAATGGACTGGACTTTGTGAAGATGATTTTGTACTTTTGTGTTGCATAACAGTGGATAATTTTGTATTTTGCTGAATACCTATTAGCTGCTTGAGAAGGGGTTATGTCTTTCATAATCAGGTTTGTCACTGAACATTTACCCTCCCGTGGCAGGATTTTATAAAATACACTCCTGTATTCACATCACCAACATTTGCATCTATCATAGGATGCTGAAAAAATTGTCACTTGACATTCAGATTTCCTTCGATCCTTCTGTCATGATTTGTGAAATGTATGTCATGATATTGTTCGTGAAAAATTAGTGCTGTATGATTTTAAAGACTTCAGTCTAAGAGTGCAAAATATAGGTAAAATGTGTCAGAATCAATTACTGATGTTTGAAGCCCAGGAAATTTCTTAGTCTGGCAGTCATATTTGCTGTATTGTATTCATGAAAGGGGTTAATTTCCTGGCATAAGATGTATCTAAAATATGAGTAAGACAGGAGTTGTTTACTTGTTAAACTGGCCTTATTATTTCTGTGTTTCACCCCACCCCTCCTGAACTGCCATTACTAACACTAATGCACTAACTGCATGTTCCGCTTGCTTTTCTTGCTCCCGTACAGGTGAGCTCCCCCCCTCCTTCCACTCCCCGAGTCAGGATGTAGATTATCAGTCGGATGAGGATGGCCGAGGTGGGGTCTCTGGCCTTGTCATCATAGTGGTGACGGTGGTGGGAATGGCGGTGCTGATGCTGAATGTGCTGCTGATTGGCTGCTGCCTGCATCGGCGTGCCAACAAGCGTCTCACAGGTATGCATATTGCATTTTAGGTGAAGGGGACCTCCAGCAAGTCATCCCTGACATCCTTCTTGGCAAAGGGGACATCCCCCGCTTGGTTATCATTGGAGTGTCAGTTACAGGGACACTGCTTGTCCTGTTAAATGTTGGGCTTGTCGCCTGTTTCATATATAGGAAGAGAAGCAAGCGGCTGCAAGAAGGTACTGTAGGAAGTGTGCTTGGTGAGTCCATGTTAAGATATCATTATGAACTTGCTTTGGGACTCTGTTTTGCTTGAAGTTATAAATAAATTGTTTAAAATCTGTAATTAAATACTTTCAACTGTTAGTGCTTCTGACTTGTAGCACCTGGTTGTTATGAAAGGAACTTCCATCACTTGAAAGGATTTGCTGTCTATATCTACATGTTAGAATGAGGAGGATTATGACAAACAGGGAAAGAATAATTATAGATTTAGTGAATCCTGAAATTCTGATTTAATGTTTCTGAGTTTAATTTTCCCTTCATGTAATTCTGTATATCTGTAGTTCCAGCTTCCTTATATCGATGTTAAATTCCTTCCCACTGAAGATTTTAATAAGCTGATTATTTAGTGTGCAGTTCTGTTGTCCTCCCAAGAAACACTAAATGGACATTATTTCACTACATACATTAATTTATACATGCATTATATTTATATATGTGGGAGGTATATGGGATACTCCATTGGGTCAGTGGTATAGTGAAAGGTTGCAAGCTGGATGGTCAAGAAATTTGGGTTCATTTTGTGGCAAGGACAAGAGATTTTTCTCTTCTCCATAGCATCCAAACCTGTTCTTGTGCCTTTCCAGCCTTTCATGGTATATCTCCAGGCATGAAGTAGGTGTGGTGTGAAGAAAACTCACTCCCATCTAACTCCAAGTTTAAGAATTGGCGGTGCTATACCTCCACTGCCTACATGTCTTCATGGAATGGGTGCTTAATTAATCATATGTTCAGCGTTATCTTTACCAGTCTATGTGGTTGTGTGTGCGTGTGTGTGCGCGCGCACACATGGATGCTTGCACATGTACACACTTGTACACACATGACCCATAACAAAGTACCAGTGACCATGTAAATCCGTCTCCAATTGCAATCACACATCTGCCAGTGCATTTTATGTTTTGTCCCTGAGGCTAAAGCTGAGGATTAGAGTACTGGCAAACATGCTTCCTCTGTCCTCATGGACAGAGGATTATAAAGCCTTAAGGAACTTTCATAAATTGGATATAAGGTTCCACCTATAGATAATGATTTTAGAACATCACCAGATATTGTGAAACAGATATGAAATTTGGATACACTTCACATGATGATAAATATTTAGCATAAATTTACTGACACCTGTATTGTCAATTGCTTTGGAAAATTAGCATTACGTTGTGCTGAAACTTTGACAGTATCAAGATTCAGAACTGGTGGGGGGAGCATGACGACATGTGTTAACAGACGTTTATTGAAGTGTTGGACATAGATCATGATCTACAAATTAGTACAGCTTTAAGAAATCAAAGACTGGCTGATCTGTCACTAGCAATTACCCAAAGTATGTGGGAAATGAGGAAACTGGTTATGAACCTGCTCAAATCACAGCTGACAAGGCTAGTATTATCCTGAGGAGGGCTACTGCAATTTGTTTTGTTTATGTGACTGTGTTCAGTGTAAAAACGCTCTCAATAAACACTGTAGTGACAGTTCAAAGCAACCTGAAGTAAATAACCCTTCTATGAAGTGTTATTGTAATAATACAGTGATGTGTTAACAATGTACAGTGGAAATACTACTTGTTATTTTGTCTGCAGAAATGTTGCTACATAATCCAGGTTATATAATATTTTCTGTCCTTGGTTATACCTTAATTTGGCACGTTTACAATGTGCAGTCAAGTTACATACAGTATTGTTGTTTCATACTTGCATATGAATAGTGATCATATCTTATATTAAAAAAAGGTAGAACTGTCCCTCTAACAGGCCATGGAGGCCCAGAAGGTTGTGAGATATCGAGGCTCCCCTATTTCTGAGACAGTCAGCTCACAAATGTTGGTGAGGTTGTCAGCCTTATGTGCCAGCCCCCCCCCTTACCCCCAGGAAGATTCCTGGTACTCATTTCTGTTAGAGAATGAGTCCACCCCAAGCCCATAGTGCAGCTGGAAAGATTAAATCAATTGAAAAATCGAATCTGCAACCTTCCATCTTGTAACATAGTGCCTCAACCAACTACTTTACCGCATGCTCTCTAATCTTGGATCATTCCTACAATTTTTGATAAATAGAATTGCTGTTTAATAGAATCAAAATGCAACTACCAATGCAATTATAGCAACTGGTTCCTGCTACATTTGAATTGCAGAGAATGGAAGGAAATTTAATTATGAACACCACTTCTGGTGGGCAGTCAGTGAGCCTGTAACAACTAAAATACATTTTATTGGTTTTTCATTGTCTTATTCGGTTTTAAGTAGCAATTTTATGACAGTTTCTTAGTTACTCAAGCTATACAGCATTAAATGGAATTATCATTGTCTTTTAAGCATCATGGCATTTTTTTTAAATAGAAGTAAAAAAAGGTAAAGCTATCCCTGTAACAGGCTGTGAAGGCCCATATGGTTGTGAGACGTTGAGGGTCCCACATTATCTAGACAATCGGCTCAAAGATGGTAGTAAGTTTGTCAGCCTTATGCACTGGCCACGCTTTACTCCCCAAGAATATTAATCAATTAATTCCTGGTACTTTTTTCTGTCAGAGGCTGAGTTGACCCCAGGGCTATAGTGCGGCTGGAAGGATTAGGTCAACTGAAAAAAAATCCAATGACCTCATCAGGACTTGAACCTGTGACCTTCTGGCTTGCAGCATAGTGCCTCAACCAACTACACTACCGTGTCCCCCCATTTTTTGTAAAGGCTGAAGAAAATTATGACAAATTTCAATCAAGATAGCCAGGTTCGGGCATAAAAATTCAACCCAGGACCATTTGAACGTGTAACACAGATGGTTGGTTATCGCTCAGTTGTGATAGTTGCAGATCTTGACATGAATCTTCCAAATAATATAACAACTTATCTTATTACTTCCTTACTTACTTTTGGAGCTGAGCCCTTCTTAAGGAGAAGCCAAATCTGCAGCTACTCTAGAATTTCCCAGCATTTCATGGAACTCAAAATTTCATTACCATATTCACAACAGCCCTCCACTGGTCCCTACTTTCTCTTATTAGGTATGTAAAATATGTTTAGATACTGAAACTATTTGGGGAGCTGGGATAGCATGGTCGGTATACCTATTGGCTATGGGCTGGATGGCCAAGGGGGTCAAAATTCTAGTTTCTGTAGGGACGAGATTTTTCGCCTCTCCATGTCCAGACCAATTCTTGGACACATCCATCCTTCTATCCGGTGGATATGAAGGGCTTCTTTCCCAGGAGTAAAATGACAGGAGCATGAAGCTGACCACTCCCTTATAACTAGTGCTGAGGTCAAGAATGGTGGATCTATATAACCACTTCCCATGGCTTAGTGCATAATCAGTTAAGCACAAGGACAGTTTTACCTCTACTTTTACTGAGACTATCCAGGGTAGGCAAAACAAATACAAATTCCAGTGTTTTAAGAGAACAAGATACTACCACAAATCTGGTTACTTCTGAGTTCTTATGTTTTACTTGGAAGTAGTGTGTGTCTGAGCTACAGCTAACATATGTGTGGTGTTGTGGTTACAGCAGCGAGTGAACAGAGCAGCAGTAAGTCTGCCACCATTGAGATGTATGCCCCAAGCAGTTACAATGAGACTGTCACTGGAGAGACCCTCAGTTCTGTGTCAGAAAAGAGCGAGAGTTACTCAAATGGAGACAGCAACCAAGAGTACCTGGTAATTAAACGTCTATATATCAAGTCCGTCAATGATGGAACAATCATTAACATATTCAAAATTTAACACTAACACAACATGCTTCGGCCACAGACGGCCATCTTCAGGTGTTTCAGTGCTTCCAAACTGTTACACTGTTTTGATGAGCGCTAAAATTACGCGTTGCAGTCCACTTAAAATAATATAAATAATTAAAATTCATTAATTTTTTTCTATTAAAATCTTTTGTAAAATCCTATTGCACCTTGTAAGGGCGATGTCCACTTGTTTAGATCTATGTGATATTCCAGACAGTTTGTTTGAGCAGCCTGTTTTTCTGTTTCATTAGTCCATTGTTTTGCTATGTCTGCAATCTGTAATGTGCTCCGTGCTTGTGCGCTGTTCCCTCTAGCAGCGTGTGGTGTTTTTTACACCTCTGTGTAATAAACTCCATAGTTAATTTTATAAAGCACATCTGTGTCCTTTTCTGGCTTGCTCTCTCTTTGTTGGCCCTAATATGTTTCTGTCTCTCTATAACAATTCAGAACCCACATATAAGGTGGAGCTCACAAGGGAAAGGTCTGATTTGACATGTCGAAACCTGCCCTGATTTTTTTTTATTGCAAAAGTACAGAGAACAAAATCCACTGTCAAAATTTTAGCTGCTAATATGCACTGCAAGTATTTTTTAAAAATTGCTGAACATGGCCAATATTGTAGCCTGCCAGACCCTTGGAGGAATAACCACCGCTAGCAGAGCCGGAGCAGAGCAGAGAAATATGCAACACGCAACACGGCTGACTCACAACCTAGGCTGGGGTTGTACAAACCTCTGGTACAGAAAAAATGAGTAACCTTGGCAATTTTTAAAAAATACTTGCAGTGCGTATTAGGAGCTAAAATTTTGACAGTGGATTTTGTTGTGTGTACTCTTGCAGATTAAAAAGTATTTATGCATTCATGCATCCCACATTTTACTATCTGTGATACTATGGCTCATAACTGTCTCATCGGCCTCAGATTATTTACTGCCGCTTGCATATTGCAGGAGGATGGAACAAAGGCAGCAGCAAGTACGTACCTGATAGACCAAATAGAGTACCCATACCCATACCCAACATATGAGATGCAACACCAGCCAAAACCACACCATGATGAGCAGGATGTGAGGAATGCATATAGCCATGTTGTGGATGGTAAGTGATGTAGTGACAAAGTTAATAGAAAGTCTGTCGAGTGTAACAATTTGTAGGTCACTTTTTATTATTATTTCTGCCTTACATGTTTCGGTTTGACACAACGATCATCAGAGGCACTTGCTATAATTATGGAAACACTGTCGCTTTTTTTGATGTTCACAATTATGTTTGTCGTGTGGACGCTGTTACGATATGTTGACGTGTAAAAGCACAAAACATGCTAAGATAGTTGAGTACACTCTCAAGTTCTCACTTTTCATCCGAACCTTTTTTTAAGTTAAAACGCTAAAATGTTAAAATATTTGATATAAAAAAAGCTGAACTCCTCCTTGTTAATTCATCCCGAAGATGGGAGACGTCAGCGTGAGGTTGTATGGCTGCAAAGATATTATATTACTTAGGATTTTTATATATTATTATATATATTGTTTAACGTTGTGTTTGATTCTTGCTTACCTTATGGTTTGATATGGTCCTGTGTGCCGTGTGCTGTGTACTGCAGTAGGAATACTACATCTAATGTTTTTTTACAGCCTTGTGTGTTATGACGCGGTCGGGGGTGTGTTTATACAAGTAGTGATGAGGTCAAACATGCTGTTCTGGTTATTGATTTCCTTTGCCTGTTTCTGCTCATCTATTAGTTTATTATACTTGTAGTGGCAGTAAATTTGGTATTCTTCCTTTATATTCATTAATCTACCTTTCTTTGCTACTTCAATCAGTTCCATGACTTGTGAAATTGGGGCGTATTGATGTTGTCTATTTAGGATATGTTGAGCATAGGTGGAGTCATTTTTATTTAATCTTATACTTCTTATAGAACGGACCAAAATGAAACAATTCAAAATGATGTAGTGATATTATGTTCAGTGAGACAAATTATAATCTAAAGCATGTAAGAGTAAGTTTCCTCTTTCTGTTAATAACTCAGTCCTGCTCAGGTTTCCAGTTATATTCAGTTCATCCACACAAGTCTGTGGACTTCAACAGCATTAACCTTTAAGTGCTGAAGTGCCCCGTTTGTGCCAGTGGTGACTAAGGTCGTCGTGGCCAAAGTACCCAGTTTTGGCCACTCGGGCATTTAAACTCCGCTAGGGGAAGCGCGCGCACACGCCGCTAGTAGAAGCGCATGGACAGTCCTAAATATTTATTTTTAAATGTAGTAATTACCAGACCGACTTGAGTAAAATCCTAATAGAGTAATTAAAATGATACCTAAATGAACAACAACAAAAAGAGTATACGTATGAGTTACGCCGATTCTCATCCACGAGCCAGTAATTTTATTGCAGATTCTGCAGATAAATATGTACAAATATATAGTAAAATTCGATGTACATACCTTTTTGTTGTTATCTGCTTGATGTATATATAAGCTCCACCCCCTGCATCATCTAACTAAATCTTGGCTTTGTATGATATTCTTTGAAGCACCCGAGAATGCACAGGCCCACGTCACATTTCTCGCACTTTGTCTGTATTCTTCTCCTTTTCCCACGTGCAGAACAGACGCGGCAGTTCAGTCTCTTGTCTGAATGGTTTGGCCAGTGTTGTCGACTGGCCTCCTCTAGGCGATATATTGTAGATGAAAGAGCAGGAGGTCGACCTAAGGGCCCCTGGGGGCGAGGGCGACACGTTGCGGCATGCTCCAGCATGTTGCGCACAAGGGTTAGACGAAAGTCTCTATGTGATATTTTCGCACCACAGGATGACAGCACAATGAAACTGTTCAGAATCGTCAGATCTAGTAAATGGAAGAATAGTTTCTTCGTCCATTTCCAAGTCCGACGGCTGATGGAATAACTGTTTGTCATCCTGTCCGCTTTGTCAACATATCCCATGTGCATGTTGTAATCCGCAACAATTGCAGGCTTTATCGCATTTCTGTGTTCATCACAGAAATTGCCTTCTGCTGGAGGAGCGTGCATATTAGTCAACATATATACATCTCGTTTGTCTTTCCAAACTAATACTGTCATGTCACCCCTCACCCTAACCCGTATGTCTCCTTTCTTCAATCGAAGTTGTCTGTTGCGTATGTCTTGTGGTAGGCCCTTCCGATTTGGTCTGACTGTTCCGCAACAGCTTATTTTTTTCGTCATTAGTTCGTCGAACAAGTCTGGCGACGAAAAGAAATTGTCCATGTACAGTTTGTGCCCAACCCCCTCTACTCTTTTGCAGAGGTCCCTGACAGTTGCATGCGTCGCAGTCACTTCTTGGTCAGCGCGTGTTCTGTCTTTACCTAAGTAAACCTTCATGTCGTATGTATAGCCTGCTGAATCACAGAGCTTGAAGATTTTGATTCCGAAACGTTTGTGTTTCTTAGGAATGTATTGTCTGAAAATAACCCTCCCTTTGAATTTTACAATTATTTCGTCAACAGCCAGATGCTCCGAAGGATTATAATATTTTTCATATCCGTCATTTAGAGTGTCAAAAATAGTCCGAATTTTCCATAGTCGGTCATAATTGTCGGCTTGTCTGTCAATTCCTGCATTGTTGTCTGTAAAGTGAAGGAAGCGAAGAATATGAAGAAATCGGTCGCGTTTCAATGTCTTACCGTAGAAAGACGTGAGAAATTGCTCAGCAGTCGCCCAGTAGTCTCTTATTCGGTCTCTAATGTCATGGCCCATTTGAATAATGATCCCTAAAAAAAGAAACATTTCGGAATCAGTAATGTCAGGGAGTGGAGAAGGTCCGTCTTCAAGACTGTCGAGATATTGGTGATAATATCTGTTAGTCTCTTCCACCAGCAGATGGATAATTTCTCTGAAGAATAACAGGAACACGCAGAGTGGAGTGGAATCCTTATTCACATGTGGAGCTTCGTTTAGATTTATCCCCACTGCTCCACCAGAAAAATTATTCGCACCCCTTCTGCCATGCTGTTGTGGTGGTCCCCATGACGATGGTGATGACGACAATGATGATAGTGATGATGGCGGTGGCTGCACGAGTTCTTCATCATCCTCATCTTCGTAGCCCCAATTATTATCTTCATCTTCTGTGCAGCAGTCCGAATCAGAATCGAATAGCAGTTGCCTTTCAATTTCATAATTTTCCAAACGACGTTTCATTGCCATGGTAAGATGAAATGTAACTACAGTATTCGATTTCACTATCACTACACAGGAAAGAGACGGCACTTTGTATCTCAGCCACGAAGTAACTGTTTGTTCACGACCCTAGAAAGGGCAGTAATATCTTGCAGCTATAACGGAAGGTTTTAGCACTGAGGACGGGACCCCTCTAGCTTTCTCTTGAATAGCCATTCTTTCATTCTTCTGTCCTTTAGTAAAAGATTCGAAAATCTGGAAAGTGTAAGCAGTGCTAGCAAAAGACCAAATGACTTTATTGCTTCCACCTGTTTTATGACACCAGGACACTGCTAAATTTTTGAAGTGTTACAAACAGAAATGAAGTTATAATGCAGAATGACTCTGTGAAGAACTGGGAAACCATTTTTGCAGTACGCATCAAAATTAAAAGAAAATAAAATAAAATAGGGTATAACACTTTGTATAAAAATTTTCAAATCTTCCGTTGTAATACGCGACAGTGTGTTCTTTGCTGATACACACAAAGTTAATGCCATCCATTTATCACAAAAGTTGAGTTAGATACAGCATTTTTAAACACAATGCTTAAAATTGATTAAGTGCCCGAAGAGGAACGGACATTTAAACCCAGAGTGGCAACGGGCATTTAAATAAACTCCAGCCAGCTCAAGCTTACCACCATTTCCGAAGTCCGGCGTTTAAAGGTTAAGTACTGCTTACACTGACCCAACTCCTGTGCAAAAAGAAGTTCCAGGGTAATATTGCTATTCCCTTTATAGCGACAAAATAAAGATCTTATATGTAAAACCTCAAGAGTTTGAAGGAAAAAACTGGTAGAAATAAACATTGGAAGGTGTGCATAATCTTGACAATATTTTTTCACATCCTTCACACCTCAGTCATTGTTGTCACTACCCATACTCGTACTACAGCCAGGACCATTCGTGATATTAGCAGAGTCTTCTCCAGTCTTCTCTCTCCTTTGATGAATGTTTATATTTTTGCCCTCTTTTGTCTGTCTTCTCTTGGTCTCTCCACCATGTCTTCATGTCTCCGATGGTTCATTTTAACACACTGCGGACCGGTGGTTTAAACATTTAAATCACCCTGGGGACCGGCGTTTTTAAACCTACTACCCTAACTTGTGCACTGTTCACTTTAAAAATTAATATAAAATCTCCTAATTAATTTTATGAACTGAAATTTTTGGAGAACACTTACCAGAGCTCCTAGAAGTGCTTGCGCATGTGATATCTCTGGAAACATTCCCCTTTGTGAAGAGGCATTACGCATAAGTTGCACATGTAGGCAGTTGTACTCTTCTTCTTGTGCTCTGCGCACACACGGCACTGCCTAGAAGGGTGTTTCTTCTTGCAATATTCACTCTTCACAATTTTCACGAGAATATGTTTCCGCATATCACCCGAGAGTCGGCCAGGGGGGTCTACTTGAGGCCTCCGGCGGGTGCGAACAGATGGCCCCGGCTGCACTA